GGGGGGTGGGGGGATTTGTGCATGGTGGGTGGGCCAGTGGGGGTGATAGGCATGTGAGCAGGCGTAATTTCATTTATTTATTTCTTTTGCTGGAGTGCGACAGTTGAAGATACATGTATACTTAATGAGTTGTGTAGGGAACCTGAGACTGGACAAATTTACTGAACGTTGATTTTCAGCCACTAGAATGAACTATAGTAGAAATAAACCAACCAAAATCTCTTATATTCCCACACTAAAACATCCACACTTCAAGAAAAGTAACTTCGTTTATATAAAAATCCACTTCTACCTTAGAAGTTAGGAGGTCCCTACATTAAGCCGTTCTTTATAGGTAATATACTCTTAGTGTTAAAGGTATATCGCAAATAAATCAGCAACAATTTCGGCATATTTATACGGATATATCTCATCTACCACANTATAGGCAATATACTCTTAGTGTTAAAGGTATATCACAAATAAATCAGCAACAATTTCGGCATATTTATACGGATATATCTCATCTACCACAGATTCTTTGATTTCCGTATTTTAATCCCTATATAAAACCTCATTTGCTCCAAACATCAGACTAATATGATCTTTCACTTGCATATGACCCAAAAATACTGCCGCAAAAGCGAGCCAGCAGCTGGAGGATCAGAAAGTAGGCAGGCGAAATGAGGGAGAGCCATTAAATAGCATTTCTAATAAATTAAATTAAAAAAGAAACACCATTTGTCAAGGCTCGTAATGAAAATCTATGAAATGATACAAGATCAAACAAGTAAAGAGTTTGACAAAGCTAGTTAGGTATGGTTCCTTGTCTCATGTTACAAATCACATTCCAAACCCCTTCCATTTTGAGGGTAAGAAGTCGACATCAGGTTCCGCAGGAGGGTAGGCTAGAGAGTTCTCTCAAAACCACTAACGCGGGGATTTTACCAGTATGCTAACTGACACACCTTGGCTGCCACACAAACTCCTGACCAACTCAATTTCCTTGGCTATCACATTGCCCTCATAAAGCATGATATTTCGAAAGTAAGCATACTATACCATTTGTGCATTATTTCAAGATCGCTGAAAAAGAATAAGATACCAACCTGGTTCTGCAAGCCTTGCTCCAGCCTCCAGACAAGCTCTCAACACACGATGCAGACACACTTCACTCCCATGACACTGAAGCTCAACCACATCTTCTCGAGTATAAGATCTTGGAGCCAACATAGGCACTGCTAAAACCTAAAATAAATATCATGTGAGATGATATTTACGACTCATACACCACATTTACAACTCATGCAAAATGTGTCCTGCATGTGGACCTTCTGGGGCCCAAATAAAATGAAACTCGTACACGATTTTAAATTTAGAACTATACTACTCACCGTATACTTCGGCCAAAATACATAAAACATAAGATATACACCATACAATTACCAACTGTAAGCTCCTAATAGAATCAACAATGCTCAAGAGCCACACTCAGAGAACATAAATAAATCAAAAACATGATCTAAAATTTGGCAATAAACGTAAACATATAGCGAACAAGATTCAGAATTGGCAATAAACCATAGTTTACTTGCTTGGCATTTAGATTTTTTCGCTATGCAATAATCCAATTAGTGATAAAAAAGCCAGACAAATAAACCGTATACCTCGTCAATCAAGCTCCCATTAGGGTCCAAAACCATGCCATACTCCACAACATGGCTCTTTGGCCTCCACCCAGAAACCTTCCTCTTCTTTCTCGCCACAGGATGAAAAACCCTCGACACAATAGCTACCGCCGACGGACCCGACAATCGAACAATTCCAACCGCCCCCGGAGGACCACCCAATGAAGTAACAATGGCAGCAATTGTGCTCGAATTCAAAACTGGGACAGAATTCTCAGAAACTATCTTCTCCAACCTTTCATCTTTGTTAAGTACAAGGGTTTTCCCTGAAATCAAAAAACAAAACAAAACATCAAGACATAAATGCAACAACAGTCTATCGATAAAATTATGTACGTGTTTATGTTGAGAGAGAAAGAGACCATTTGGGGTTACTTGGGTTTTGGTGGGTTTGGAGATGTGGGTGGGTTTAGGGGAGGAAGAGAAGAGGAGAGAGAGTTTTGTGGAAGCTGGGATTGAGAGGTTTGGAAAGACTGCGGCTATGGAGAGTTTGGAGGGCCTTGAATTGAATTGCAGGTGACTGATCAGAGAGCGAAATGCTGGAAGTAGAGCCATTGCTGAGCAGTGAGTTTCAGCACCAATGGCTATCCCCAATGCTCTCTCTGTATCAAGAATCAAGATCACGATCGATAGCTTTACAAGCATATAACCTTCTCTCAATCCCTAGACGAATCAAATCTCAATTTATACCTTTAAAATTTAAAAATATCAATTTACAACCAAAATTAGCACTTGAGACTAACTATTATCTTTTTTACAGTTAAAAAAGTTTAGATTAATTATAAATTATACCCCTTAAAATTTAAATATTTCACATTTATTTCTAAAAAGAATTTCATCAATTAATGATCGTTAAATAACCCTCAATTGTATCATATCATAACATCTTCATATTGTGTTCGAGTCAATAAAAAAATATTTTTTAAAATTTAAAAAAAATTATAAAATACTATTTTTCACTTATAATACTCGTTAAATAACTATTTTTTGTCTACAATTAAACATAAATTTTTTGATAATTCGATCAAATTAAAATTACATACGAATAACACAACTATAGATAAAAAATAGATATTTAACAAGTATTAATGTATTATAAAAAAAATTGATATTTTTAATTTTTAAAAATATTAAATAGTATTGATGATGCACAAAATAGTTTTGCATACCACCTGTCAAATGTGAATAATAAATGTAATAAAATAATATCAGGAAATGGAGAGACACAAGCAATTTATAGTGGTTCGGTCAGCTCGATTTATATCCACTTTTCAATGGCTCTGGTTGCTGGGTATTTTATTAACTCAAGGGTGTGGGGAGTAGAGAGTACAAGCTTTGTGAAAAAGGAGAAAGTCGTGCTCAGATGATGTGTGATGCCCCCCAAGTGTTGGTGGGGCGTGCAATTTATAGTGGCCCCTTAACAGGTTAGGGTTATTTTACAGCAACTAAGCAACCCTTTCGATGGAGTTCACAACTTCTTCTCAACGGGCGAGGTGGTTGAGATACGGTCAAGGATAAGGTGAGGGTGGACTATTTCCTTGGCGGTGTAGATAAGGCTTCCGTGTTCTCTCTCTCTCTTGATAACGTAGCCGAACTGATGAGACTGGACTTGGACAATATTGGGTTTAGTAGGTCTTCATAAGACTGGGCTCTTCAATTGAAGTTTGCGTTTTCCAAATAAATTGGGTTCTTCTTGGGCTTGACCCATCATTTGCCCCCTAATGCCTCCTATGTCTAAGGAAATTTGGAGAATGAGGCATTGACTCTTCATTTGTGTAATGTATTTTTGGTTTTTGTGCATACTTCAAGCCTTTCCCATTTTTGCTAGGATTTTTAAGAGGACTCATAATTTTTAATTTGGGTTTTTCTCTCTTTTAAAAATCCTAGACTGTAAATATAGTCTTCTTTTTCATGAGTGCCTTTTTTTCTTTTGAAATCCTTGGAGACCCAAAGCTTGAGACTCTTGAGTTGGAGCATCAATGAAGACTGGAGAGAAAACCCACATTGGCGTTGAAGATGAGGCGGGCAACACAAACACTATGGCCGAATCTGCTGTGCAATCGAGTATTTCTCATATTTTTGCGGGTTCAAGCAAAATGGTTGAANCACATTGGCGTTGAAGATGAGGCGGGCAACACAAACACTATGGCAGAATCTGCTGTGCAGTCAGGTATTTCACTTATTTTTGCGGGCTCAAGCAAAATGGTTGAAGGGAGCCATGGTGATGGAGTATTCGGCGCCTCTCATGGCGTTGACCCAAGTAATTTCAGTGCACAAGGAGGAACTAGAAAGGATAGGGAGGCGTTGCCCAGCGTAACTTGTACGCCAAAGAAGGGGCAGCCAGGTCTGGCAGAAGCTGCCCAGGTCGCGGCTAGGCAAGCACCGAAGGCCAGCGAGTACGCGACAGACGGGGCTATCCAGAACGCGGGTCTGCCTAGTTTTTGAGAGTTGCCTCGTGCATTTAGGCGTGCAGGGACTATGGTGGACAGTCCTGGTGCGATGGGCAGCGAATTAGGGGTTGTCTTGGACAATTCTGGCATGCTGGGCAGCTACCTGCGCGCTGATTCTACTATCTTAGATAGCTCAGGCGCGCTGGACAACAACCTAGGCATTGGCACTGCTATTCTGGGTAGCTCAAGCATGCTGGGCAGCGCTGATTCTGCTGTCCTGGGCAGCTCAGGCGTGCTAGGTAGTGCTGATTCTGCTGTCCTGGGGCAGCATCCTTTTTTTAGCTAAAGGTGCTGTTTTGTGCAATTTTGGAGGGTCAGACACATTTTCAGCTACTGGGCTGCTCTGTTTGGGCGAGCAAAAGCGGTCAGGCACCTATCCAGGTATTGGGTTGCCTTGTTTGGACGAGCAAAGGCGATCAAGCACCCCTCTAAGCGTTAGGCTTGACACTGTAGGCGGCAAGGAAGCTTTGAGTGTTGTTTTTAATGATCAGGATCTGACTGTGACTCCTCCAATCCAAGCTCCTCAAGACTCCCCAAATGGTGGCCTAAACTACTCCTTACAGCCCTGAAAGAAGAAATGCAAAGGCAAGGTGGGACACGGTGATGATGGGTCTAAGGTAAGTACCCTTTCCAGTCTGTTCCATTCGGATAAGGATATCTTGAGGCTTATTTATGCTTATCGCATTCCTCCGATCGTGCTGTGCTGTTAGGCTGAGTTGGGTGAGCTTGCTTGTGATGACTCTTCTGGTGATATTGTTGTTTACGAGGAGATGCTTGAGGCTGGGCTAAGATTCCCCATGTCCTCTCTTATTTGTCATATTTTGCATTACTTTTCCTTGACTCTAGGGCGATTAGAGTCTAATGGTTGGAGAGTTTTGCTGGACTTTCTCGCATTATGGAGGAAGGTGCACCATGAGGATACTTCTCCTGTGGAGTTCCATGCAGCATATAATTTGAGCGAAACTCCTGCACCAAATAGGGGGCGGTACTACTTTACCACAAAAAGTGGTACAGTGCTTACGAGAATGCGTTTCAATTGTCACTACTGAAAATCTTGCTTCTTCTTTGTCGGTGGAGAGTGGGCTACAGAAGCCGACAGAGCTTTGGTACCAATACATTGGGGTGCTGCTAGAAAACCCGGTACGCTGCTGATTAACCATCAAAATTACTATTTTATTATATTTAATGATTGATTAATTACATATTATTTGTGATTAAATGTGTTGAATTTCTTGATTTTTTACTTTGATACTTTTTCTAGTTGTTTGGTTTATTTTACAGGTAAATTGGTTAATTTAAAGTAATAATGGATAATGCAAGTGAATCAATCACTAGAGGAAGAATCGCAATTGATAAGGAATGAAGAGTCAATATTGAGATAAGAAGACTTGAAGATATGACAGCAATTTAATCCTTATAAGAGTCCAAGATGGAAGAAAACTCATTTAAAGTTGGATTAGGAAAGTATCCTAGAAGAATAAGGATTTGACACGTCTTCAGTATTTTGGTCATAACTTTTGACTCTGATATCCGATTTACTTGATTTTTGGGGATTGAAAAGAAAACTCCAAGGGCTACAAAAGTGTATTTATGTTTTATTTTATTAGATTATTTAGTTTTTAAGTTTTAGTTTTTAGATTTTAGGATCTATGTATTACTGGGGACTAGTAATATTCAGATTGGAGGGTGTGATTAACCATCAAAATTACTATTTTATTATATTTAATGATTGATTAATTACATATTATTTGTGATTAAATGTGTTCAATTCTTTAATTTTTTGCAAGTTTTTGGTGCCGTTGCCGGGGAGTTGAAAGACAATGAGCCACCATCAAATCTAGTGAGGTTTTCGATACTTGCGATTCGTCAGAGATCCGGTAACTTAATTCCATTTTTTAATTATTTATTTATTTTACTGAAATTTATTTATTTTTTGTTATTTAAGTTATTTTTCTGTTTTATTTATTTATTTATTTTATTTGTTGTATGAGTTCTTGACATCATGATTTGAGTGGTCGTTTGATAAGAGAAGATTTAGACACTCTGTTTGAAAATTTATTTGATTCATCTGATTCAAATCATACTTCTTATACAATGGCTGCTGATCCTAATGATAATAGACAAAATAATTTACCTGAACATGAGGATCATATTGATAGAGTAAGTAATCATGATGAGAATGATGTAGATAATTTAAATGCTAATCAGGGAAGGACTTTGCGTGAATATTTACAGCTTGCATGCCACACTGCACTCTCATGCATTATCTTTCCATTAAATGCCACAAATTTTATTTTCAAACCTGGCATGATTACATTACTTCCAAAATTTCTTGGCCTAGATTCAGAAAATTCATATCTACACATTAGAGAATTTGAGGATGTATGTGCTACGTTCCATGATCAGAATGTCTCAGTGAATACAATCAGATTAAAGTTATTTCCTTTTTCATTAAAGGAAAAAGCTAAAACTTGATTATATTCACTTAGATCTAGGACCATAGGTACATGGCCTAAGATGCAAAAAAAAATTTTGAAAAAGTTTTTTTTCACACATCGCACAAACTCTTTAAAAAGGCAAATAATGAATTTTTTTCAAAAAGAGACTGAAAATTTCTATCAAAGTTGGGAAAGATTTAAAGACCTTCTTGCATCTTGTCTGCATCATGGTTATGAGAACTGACGCATGATGAGTTTCTTTTATGAGAGTTTGAGCCCACAGTTGCGTCAATTTGTTGAGATGATGTATAATGGCGATTTCATGAATAAGGAACCAGATGAGGCCTTTGACTACTTAGATCAGTTAGTTGANAATGAAGAGTCAATATTGAGATAAGAAGACTTGAAGATATGACAGCAATTTAATCCTTATAAGAGTCCAAGATGGAAGAAAACTCATTTAAAGTTGGATTAGGAAAGTATCCAAGAGGATAATGATTTGACACATTTTCAATATTTTGGTCATAAGTTTTGACTCTGATATCCGATTGACCTGATTTTTACAGTGTTGGAAAGAATACTTCAANTGTTAGATGTAGGAATTATTTACCCTATTGCAGACAGTAAGTGAGTAAGTCCTACACAGGTAGTCCCCAAGAAATCTGGAGTCACTGTAGTTGCTAATGANTCTGTTTTATTTTATTAGATTATTTAGTTTTTAAGTTTCAGTTTTTAGATTTTAGGATCTATGTATTACTAGGGACTAGTAATATTCAGATTGGGGGGTGTGATTAACCATCAAAATTACTATTTTATTATATTTAATGATTGATTAATTACATATTATTTGTGATTAAATGTGTTGAATTCTTTAATTTTTTNTGGGGACTAGTAATATTCAGATTGGAGGGTGTGATTAACCATCAAAATTACTATTTTATTATATTTAATGATTGATTAATTACATATTATTTGTGATTAAATGTGTTCAATTCTTTAATTTTTTGCAAGTTTTTGGTGCCGTTGCCGGGGAGTTAAAAGACAATGAGCCACCATCAAATCTAGTGAGGTTTTCGGTACTTGCGATTCGTCAGAGATCCGGTAACTTCATTCCATTTTTTAATTATTTATTTATTTTACTAAAATTTATTTATTTTTTGTTATTTAAGTTATTTTTCTGCTTTATTTATTTATTTATTTTATTTGTTGTATGAGTTCTTGGCATCATGATTTGAGTGGTCGTTTGATAAGAGAAGATTTAGACACTCTGTTTGAAAATTTATTTGATTCATCTGATTCAAATCATACTTCTTATACAATGGCTGCTGATCCTAATGATAATAAACAAAATAATTTACCTGAACATGAGGATCATATTGATAGAGTAAGTAATCATGATGAGAATGATGTAGATAATTTAAATGCTAATCAGGGAAGGACTTTGCGTGAATATTTACAGCTTGCACGCCACACTGCACTCTCATGCATTATCTTTCCATTAAATGCCACAAATTTTATTTTCAAACCTGGCATGATTACATTACTTCCAAAATTTCTTGGCCTAGATTCAGAAAATTCATATCTACACATTAGAGAATTTGAGGATGTATGTGCTACGTTCCATGATCAGAATGTCTCAGTGAATACAATCAGATTAAAGTTATTTCCTTTTTCATTAAAGGAAAAAGTTAAAACTTGATTATATTCACTTAGATCTAGAACCATTGGTACATGGCCTGAGATGCAAAAAAAAATTCTGAAAAAGTTTTTTTTCACACATCGCACAAACTCTTTAAAAAGGCAAATAATGATTTTTTTTCAAAAAGAGACTGAAAATTTCTATCAAAGTTGGGAAAGATTTAAAGACCTTCTTGCATCTTGTCTGCATCATGGTTATGAGAACTGACGCATGATGAGTTTCTTTTATGAGAGTTTGAGCCCACAGTTGCGTCAATTTGTTGAGATGATGTATAATGGCGATTTCATGAATAAGGAACCAGATGAGGCCTTTGACTACTTAGATCAGTTAGTTGAAAATGTACAATCTTGGAATATCACATCCCAAGAACCTCCTAAAGGTAAAATTACACAATCTTCATCATCTAGTGGGGGAAAATACCAGCTGAGGGAAGAAGATGACCTAGGAGCTAGAATTGTCACCTTAGCTAGGAGGGTAGAAGCTATCGAGTACAAAAAGGTTAATCAAGTTGACACAGTGTCTATTGAAGAGATGTGTAGTATTTGTGAGATCCCTGGACATCCTATGAAGGAATGTCCAACATTACCTGTTTTAAAAGAAGTCTTGCATGATCAAGCAAATGCTACAAATACTTTTTTAAAACCTTACAATAATCCTTACTCAAACACATACAACCCGGGGTAGAAGAATCATCCAAATTTTAGTTTGAGGAATGAAAATTATGTATCATAACCACCTCAACAAAATTCCTTAAATGTTGCACCCTATGTTCCACCCCATAAGAAAAATTTTGAAGAGGCATTGTCACAAATGATGCAGAGTCAGTAAAATTTTATCAATCAAATCATGCAGGTTATA